TCACACACACACCATTCACTCACATACCATTCTCTCTCGCACACACACACCATTCACACACACACCATTCACTCACATACCATTCTCTCTCACACACACACACCATTCACACACACACCATTCACTCACATACCATTCTCTCTCACACACACACACCATTCACTCACACACATGCACACCTATGGGCAATTTGGTGATTCCAATTAACCTCAGCATGTTTTTGGACTGTTTGGGAGACCAGAGTACTCAGAGGAAACCCCACAGGGAGCAAATATGCAAACTCCCCACAAATGGACCCTGGGCGGAGACCTGGAGCTGTGCCCAGAGGTGTGAGGCACCTGCTGCTGGACACCTGCTGCCTTTTCCTGTAGGAGGTAAAGATCACAGCCTTTTAACATCATTAGTTCACATAAGGTTTCTTCAAATTTTGGTACCAGCCTCTGTAACTAAGTGGTTGGAGAGATGTGTTCTTCAGGCCTTTTAACATGCAGTCGCCCCCCCCTGATATTATGAAGATCTACCAAAGGCTCCAACGCGTATAGCCTTTTGTTTGTCTTTCTTCTGCCTGCAGATGTTCAGGACTTTGTCATGAGCAGACAGCATGCCAAGGCTGAGATGTGGTCTGACATCTTGCGGGTATATAGCCATTCAATTCCTAAAGGCTGTTGTGTGGCCATGTATTTTATATTGTGAGACTTTTTTGGGAGCAATTTACTAAATCAGAAAAATCATGTGCTGCAGCCAATAGCCCCGGCCTGAGGCAGACGGGTTTGCCTGGGCGTGGAAATCTTCACTGCAGGGGAAACAGATTCAGCCAGAGTGCTAACAACTTGTTTGGAAGCGGAAACTGGTGGATTTTAAATCCCATTTTCCCTGGTTTATCATCTCTGCATCTCAATTAGTGATAGCATTAAATCAAGCGGGCCCTGTTTTATCTGTAGACGAGTTCCTTGTTGAGCAAACAAGTCAGTGATATTGAGTCGCATTTAGTCACAGAGGGCACTTTCTCACAACCTGTAATGTACCTGCCGTGACCTCAGCACCAATGCAGCGGCCCAGCTTCCCAGCGTGACGGCCTTCCTGGCTGCAGAGGTGGCGCTCACACTAACGTGGAGTGACTGACGCAGGGCTCTGATGGCGAGGTGAATGGCAGAGTGCTCCTGTAGAGGCTGAGCTGACCATAGGGGTGTACTGCCTGGAAGTCCAGTAGCTGTCCCAGCACGTTTGTGTAAGCGTGGAAGGTCCGACCTCATGATGCAGCCGCCTGCTTTGAAATCCGGCATTTTATGAATTATTTGTGTTGCATTCAGCTAAGACTGCAGTTTGTGGATGGTTGGGTAGTATCGAGCGTCCTAGGTGTTTTACATTCCAGCGCAGCCTTGAAGGATTGTGGAGTTCAAGGACAACTCTTCTTGTTTGGAGAGAATGAAGAAACATAATGAACGGAGACATGCAGCAAAAGCGGGTTAGCATGGTCGACACTGACGCTGTGCCCTGACGCCGGGCAGGAAAATCGATGCTTTTTGCGAATGGAGACGGCTGCGTGAGACGCCTTGCCCATGCGTCAGTGATTCAGCGGGTGCCACGGTGGCAGCTGGACAGGCGTGCTTAGCGAAGCGCCCAGTGCTCAGCGCCCAGGGCTCAGCGCTCCGAACCACATCTGCTTTCTGTGTTGTTTTCCTCTAGTCTTGTGGGGATGTCAGAGGTTCTCCAGATTCTGCTTCAAACATGGCATGGACCACTTTAAACATTTTGACTAAATATACATTTGTTTGTGTCATCTAAGGGGGAACTTTGGCATCAACATAGTTCGTCACTAGTTGGAACATCGGCAGCTGCCTTCTGAAGACAGGAATGTCCACTCAGCTGAACAGAGAGGGCCAGACTTCAGAAGGCTGCAGTCCCCCTTTTTTCAGCCATTGACCTGGCTCCTGTTTCATTTCCATGTTGATTTATCCGAGCCAAATAAAAACAGTCCCATACTGATACTGAAAATGCCTGTACAGTATATGGTGTTTAAACTTCAACTGTGTCTATATTCCCTTTGAATTCAGTTAAATGTCAGTGCGCTGTGTTATTGTAATAACATTAAAATCATTTGTTATTAGTTACCCTTTTACATTTTGGGGTGAAACTGAAACCCCTCATAAAGTACATCCAACCTAAGAAGCAGTGAAAAGCTAATAATTTGCTGTTCTGGGACCATTTTTCAGTCCCAAAAAGGGGAGAGGGGTTTTATAAAAAGATCTGTGACTGCAGTCAAAAACATAAAAATGTCAAAAGTCTTTTTTTTATTTGGTTACTTATGGTTAAGTTAGGGCTGGGTAGGGTTAAGGTTGTCATTGTTGGGATTAGGGTTTTCCCCATAAAAATGAATGGAGAGTCCCCACAAAGATATGAATACAAACATGTGTGTGTTTCTGCCCCTTCCAGGTCCCCTATATCTGGATAAGCTGTGAATGTGATGATGGATGGATGTGTTCAGTGATGGATGGATGTGTTCAGTGTGGTCTGGGTTAACTATATGTATTCTGCACATGTGGAAGATTCCGGGTGTGGGAAGCTTGGCTGAAATTTCACTCCCTGTGACTGTTCCTTTGCAAACCCTTTTCAGGTGTGGATGGTTCCTCATGGCTCTTTTCAAAGGAGTCGGTTTCTGCAGTTCCGCTGCCTGCTAAAGGGCCTGCGAGCGTCTCTCCCATTCAGGTGTCTGCTCTCTGGGTGCTAGACGAGCTGCATCTCCGTAATCACTTCGGTCATTATCGCTCCCCCTTACGATTGGCTGTGACTGTGCGCCGTGAGAGGGATGTGCATGTCCGTCCCCTCTGTGGTGTGACCAGCCTGTTACAGGAGATCAAGCCTGATCTCTAGTAAAACGTCCGCATTTTATAGACGGGCTGCGTCTATAACACTCAGTTGTCTGTTATCTATATCGCCATCTTGGACGCAGAAAAATCAATATCCCATAGGATTCCCAGATGACTGTGTCACTCTGCACTAGATTACAGTGTGACTGGTGTGAGCAGAGTTGTTCTTGGTCAGTGTCCTGGAGCACCTACCCCCAAGCACTCTGCTACTGAGCTTTACTTAATGTGGTCTGAATCCTTTGTAACTCTGTTAGCGGAACCTTATGTGATTTTATTTTACGGCTTTTCATTCTGTTATGAGGCAGCCCTTTTCGAGCCGTAGAGTTAATTTCTGACATTCTTCAGGAAATGGAAGCATTCCGTTTATCCGACAAGTGCGAAGTAAGACAGAGCACTCCTTTCATTCTCTCTGTTTGTGTCTGTGTCATTGTTACCTGTGCCGCTCTGCTCTACGCGGCAGATGAAATAAGACCTTGTGCTCCTTAGGTTTTGATGCTCCACCTTTTAGGTCATTGGTCCAAGCTCCAGGGGACACTGCTCACACTTACACCACTCACTGTGCTGCTGTCAGTTGTTCCTTTTGGAGGATGTTCATCGCCCAATCGCTTATGTTTTGAGATCCTGCTGCTGTGGTCACTAAGCAGTGGGTCATCAGTTTGAATCCCATTGGCTCATGCAATTCCCGTGGGCCTGTATTTGTACAAATAGCAAATAAAATATGTCAATAGCAGCACAGATGTCTGTGTTCCTGATGTTGTCAGCCACTGGTTGCCGGACACAGAAGCCGCCTTCCAGTTTAAAGCGGTGTGAATGTGAGTGAACACTCAGGGCTTTGCGCCAGGCCCTTCATACACTGCCTTTTTGTTTGTGTGTCATCAGCTTGTTCGTTTCTTTGAAAAGTTTGAAGAAACATTTTGGAGAAAGTGTCTTTGTCAAGTATAGAAGGTGTCCTCTGGCAGACTTTTAAAATAAATTTGCATAAATTGAAAGTAAGGGACCTGTGCTTCCGCTCCTGTGATTGCACAAGCTCACGGTTACACTTTGTGTACCATCTCTGTTGGAACCGCTGACTTCATTAGGATGGATTGGGTCTCTGCCGTTAGCCGGTGTGCCGGAGGGGTCTGGCCATGTACAGAGAATGCCGTTCCTTATGCTAACATGTAGTTTTCATGTGTGATTAAGATGCTTTGTTGACCTTGCCGCGTGCAAACTGCTTGCTACATCTGCAGCTGTTTTCAGAATCTCGTTTAGACTTTCATGTGCATTCATTTGCATAATCCAAGCACATAATTTTTGTACTCTCTGTGGAACTCCCATAATTGGATACGTGTTGGATCTTCTTAATCCTCAATGAGAATAAAGTATCATTTTCTCTTATGTAGTTCAAGCTAAACCCATTGTACACACAGTAATAATTTTAATGGAATTAACTCCCTGAAATCGGATTGTCCGTCACTTGGGGTTGCCGAGATTGTTTGCCAGTGGACGTGTGTAAGGGTCCTGTTCAAACGACCATGTGCCTCTTACAGTGCCTCTGTCCTGCCTGCAGTGCGTGGCTTTCCCTGCTGGTCGGCTTTCCCTTTATGCCGCCGTCCTGGCCCCGTCGGAGCTTCCCTCAGGAGGACCTGTTACTGAACGTATATCCTTGTTGTGCCCTGTCTGGCTCCTGCCCTGCCGTGTTGCGTACACCAGTGTGCCCATTTACTGCCCCACGTTAACTTGTATTCCTGTGTGTAGGTACTTCTCTCGCTGCCTCCCTAATCACGTTCTTGCTGTCGCCCCTGCCCCTGGCCCCGCCCCCCCCTGCCCCCCCAGCGCTGTGATGAGCCCTCTGAAGTGAGCGCGGCTGAACCCCTCTCACAGAGCATGCCTCTGAGTCCGGCAGCCGGCAAACATGAGCCAGCGGAGCAGCGGCAGCAGGAGGCGGAGTTGCTGCAGCAGCAGCTGTGTGCTACTAACGGCGACCGGGGCGACTCGGACAGCTCCAGAGAAGACTCCGTGTACGACACCATCCGCTCGGTGGCTGACAAGCCCCCCGCCGGCCCCATGGACGAGCCCCGAGGCAGCACCATCGTGATCCGCATAGGAATCCCGGACCTGCAGCAAACAGTGAGTGATCCGTCTCTCTCTCTCTCTCTCTCTCTCTCTCTCTTCCTCTCTCATGTGCGCCGATGAATTGGAGACACTGGTTAGCGCAGTACTGCACTTCCAGTGGCTCCAGTGTGCCAATCCTGGTTGCATGGGGAAGGGCGGAATAGAGACGCGTGAGATCGTGAAAGAGCAGGGGTGTATTTAACGGCAAAACTCTGCTGGTGTCTGCGCCGCCAGCCTGCTGGCGGGGGGTTGGGGGGGGGGGGGCAGTCCAACTTGTGGCTGTGCTGTTCCACTCTGCTCTGAACCCATCCAATGTAATCTGCGGCTCCCAGGGGCCCAAATTTGGGGCTGCAGCAGCACAGCTGGGGGCAGATGTGGTAGGTTGTTGTGACCCGGGCCTCTGCAGAGGGCGTGAGGATCTCCCGTGGAGGTTGCTGGTGTTGCGATGCATTTCTTATCTGTGGGATTCACACGGAGATCGGGGATCAATCTGTCACCTCATGGTGTCTGGTGTGGCTGCTGCAACCCACTCAGACATCTTACCTACACTTTCATTCATCAGATTTAAAGGTACGGTGCCCCCTACGAGGGTGCTGATGGTGCTGGCTCAGTTGGGCCTGCTTCCCAACCCTAATGACCAGATGCATTCCTCAGAATGGCGCCACCCTGGTCATTTCATGTTTGCAGTTCATTTCCATGAGCTTATGACCCTTGGCATCACCCAGGAGGCTGCCTCACTCTTCTGAAACTATTGTGACGTCCACACCAAGGGGAAAGTTCTGGGAATGCATCGGTGCTGCATAAGCAGGTCCAGCTCATTCTGGATGGAGGTAATGTCTTAGCAGAAGCCACAGGTCCGTAGCTCTCGTTCGAAGCCCGCCTGGTGCCCAAGCTTCACTGCCAGCGCCTGCCATCAGGACAGAGTGAAATTATTTTGCTAATTCAGAGGGCGGCTGCCTGTGTCACCTAAGGGGTTGAGCGGCACGGCTGTCACCAAACCTTGCAAGGATTTGTATATTTCTCTGAGATTTTGGCTTTCAGAACATTAGGCATACAATTATGTAACATGAGACACCACAGTGCTGCTCCTCTATGTTTTTACACATTGCTTTCATGCATATGCAAGTTAGAATATGTGATGTGCTTTTATCGTGAGGTTTTTTAATTAACCTTTTTACCTGGTAACATCCAGCCTCCTGGCTGTGTGGCAGACCTGGCAGCGGGTGATGTGACCACGCCCTTTCTGGAGATGGTCGAGTCGTGCTGCTCGGAGTGACATGCCCTGCGTGAGCTGAGCTCTGGTACAGAGGAGCTGAACCCTCCTGCTGTTGCCACCGCTGGCCACCTGTCTCCGATTCCTGCTTCATGATTCGAACCCGATTCTGATGCTGTTGTTGGATTGGCTCGGGGGGGTGGGTGTCCTGTGCAGCGGTGTTCCCGAAACCTCCGGGCTCCTCCTCCGACATTCGCGGCTCCGGTACAGAGAAAACTCACGTTTCCTTTGTCGGCGTCACTCTGGCACTCAGACAGGCTGCTCACGTCCAGCTTGTTCCTATTTTTAGGCCAGCTGGAGCGGCACGATGTTCAAGCTTTGCCGGGGGCCTGGGGCCCGGGGCCCGGGGCCTCGAGCAAGGGATGGTGGTGTATGCGGGGCCCGTGGAGCAGGCGGTCGAGCCCATTGCGCAATGCCGTCACTTCAGTGGCACCTTCTGAAGGAATGCAGGATGGAGAGCAGGATGGAGCGCAGTTCACTGTGCTGCTGCTGCCCTGCACAGCTGCTATGGCTTGGGTGCCCCAGCGAATAGGGCGCCTCTTATTTCTCATGACATTCTCTGCGTTAGGAGAGGGGGTCTGCCCCCCCCCTCCATGTCGTCACGGTGATCCGGCAAAACTGCCAACATGACTTTTAACTCGGGGTGTCGCTTCTCAGCCACCCGCCTCAGTCAGAATAGATGCTCTTCTGCCCCAAAGCTTTATTTCTCTGATAATGCTGCTATTTTTTTTTTTTTTGCAGTGGAAGCAGCTTCTGAGAGTGACGCCTGTTGTGTGACGTGGGGCATGAATGAATGGTAGTTTGGGGTTTCTCCTGGCTCTGTATGCTGGGGCTGTTAGCGCATAGCTTGTGTTTGTGTGTCATGTTTTTGGAAATATGCAGGGAGCACTCCTTGTGGACCCGTGTGTGGGGGGGGCTGCTGGAGGCTGTAATCTCGGGGGGCTGTACTATTAGCCATGGAATTCCACAGCGCTCAGCGCACCATACCAAAACACTCCCTCCAGGCTGTCAGCCTGTACAAATTGGTTCCACTTCCACATCAGGCATCGGTCAGGGGAGTGTTTGGGGCAGTAGTGTGGCATTTGGGAACCGGTGACCCTTCATGCCACATTTCCAATTCAGCAGTAGTTGAACTCGCTAATCACCATGGTGCCATGTGAATTAAAAGAACACAACCACACACACACACACACACAGACAGACAGACAGTTCCTGTCATTGTTGGTACTCTCCATTCATTTCTAGGCGCATAACCCTAACCCTAACTCTGAAGTGGT